CCCCAAAAAACTCTGGTGTTCTCCAGATGTCTTAGACAACAACTACCATAATTTCTCAACCACAAGAGCTTAGTAGTAATGGGGATTGGAGACCATATTTGTGCAGCTCCCAAATTATTTTTATTAGAAATGTGAGGAATTATTTTTCATTTCCGCATTTCTGACCCTGTGCTAAACACGCTTTGTTTAACCCTGATTCACCCTGCAGCTGTGGTTTCAAATCGCATCGATGGTTTCATCCAATATAAAACCTAGCAACTCACATTAAGTTTTAATGTGATGTTGTAAATTCAGGTTTTTTAGTCTTGATCTGGTTTCATAGGTAAAAGCAGAAGTGTAATGCAGTACTGGTAGTCCTTGTTTAGGGACTGCTTCATTTAACGACTGTTCTCAGTTACAACAGTGATGAAAAAGTAACTTTACAACTAATCCTTGCATTTGTGATCGTTGCAGGTCTGTAAAGCCAGTGAAAGCTGAAATAAGATCGTAAGCACAGTCACGGTTTCACTTACCATCAGCTTTGCTTAATGGTCGAGTTGCTGGGCCCAGTTGTGGTCACTAAACAATGACTACTTGTGGTTAAGTTGTTGGACTTGGAGCAGGGAAACCCGGGTTCAATCCACCCTCAGCTGTGGGAGCCCCCTGGGTGGTCTTGGACCAGTCAGTCTCCTTCAGCCCAGTCTACCTCACAGGGTTGTTTTTCAGGAGAGTAGGGCTGTACAGAGATTGGAATGTAACAAGTATAAATTTGTTAAATAAATATATAAAAATAAATATTTGGTGCATGCACATAGCACCATAGCTGTGGGCAATTTCAGGAGCAGGCTTGTATGTTTTTTCAGGTATTCCCAACTGCACCACATGCCACCCTCTCGGACTCCATATCACATTTTGCCCCCAAATCCCAATCCCTTCTCACCCCAGTGGGCATAAAGCAAAAAGAATCCCCTGCGTACACGGCCTTGAGCAGGGTGTCGTTCTGTGATCCTAGGTTTCTGCTAAATGTGATCGTGTTCTCCCTTTCTCTACGGCCAGACTTTTTTTTGGCAACTGCAGCTAATTTGGGCTTTGAAGCAAGAGCCACCCTGTTTTCCTTTTAAGAGGAGCCACATCAGACAGTTGGAAGGGAACACGGTGGTCAGAGTGCAACCTTACTGCATCCTCCCGCGTATCAAAAATGCGCTCCTTTGCCTCTCATGCCTGCGTGTGTGAGTGTGTCAGTCAGAGGACGGGGGGACATCTTTGGCTTTGGGTCAGGTGGCTGCATCTCCTAGGGTGTGAGTGTGCTCCTGAACATGCTGTGGTTAAAAATGCATTTGCTGTCCCCGAGGATTTTGCTCAAATGGCTCGGGCTGCTCTCGCGGAGGAGACCTGTAACAAGAGCACGCTCCAAACTTTGGTACGTGAGCGTCTCTGCAGCAGCGGCAAAGTACAGAAGCACTTAAAAATGACGTGTCCGTTACACACTGCTTCGTTAATTGGAATACTTACTTGCACATTCCCTCCTTTTTCAGAAGGCATTTTGCAAAGCTGAGCGAATTGATGCGCTGGCCACTGTCCAACGGTTTGTCTTGTGACCTGGGTAATTGATGAGCTGGTACAGCTTTTACCCAGCTAACTGAAATATTAAAGAGCAGTTGAAGCTGGATTTGGTAAACAGAATGGATTTTATGGCTATTCCCTTCCGGTTGGAGTAGAATTGATATTCCAGAACTTGGACAAAATATTTTCCTGTGATGCCGCTTCTGGGCATGACTCTTTCAGTTCCACCAGGATTAATATTTTGCATTCAAAGATATAAAAGACATCTGGATGCGCATAAGAAGTAGCACAGTGCTGAATCTTTGATGTCGAGAAAAACAGTGTTGGGTAGCTTCTTGTAATTTTCTTCTTGCTTTTGTGCAGAAATGGTTTGATCCAGATTTTGTTCCCACCGAAATTTTCCGCCCCATTTCCTCTGTAACTCTTGAAATTGGCTAACATCTGTTGCAATGAACTCTAGCCCACAAATAACTTCTTTATTTATTTGTTAGCCTTTAAGGTGCTACAGATCTCTTTCTTTTGGTGATAACAGATATTTACTTTTACCCCTTTGGAATTTCATTTCTTGAAAACTACACAGTTCCAAATGAAACGGCAACTATAGGAGTTGATGTCAGTATATCCGCCGCACGTCGGTAAGGGATGGCTGATGTAGTTCAGTGGATTTCTTAAGTTAACCAATGTGCCTTTTAGTACTTCCAATATCGTCAGATTAAAAATGCCTCTAGTTTCTCTGAAGGCTCAGAAACTGAAAGGTAAACAGAGCCTTGCTAAGGGTGACTCCAAGAACCCAAATAACACTCAAACCCTGTTGTTTTTTTTTTAATCCAAGCAATCCATACTTGTTTATTCATTCATATTAGCACCCACAGGTTACAGATAAGTGCAGTGGCTGGAAAAATTCAGATTAATAGTAGTAGATAGTAGGATTAATTGGGGGGGGGGGGGTTAACTACCTGGCTACATGACCTCCTTTCCAACCCTTACATTCTCTGATTTTGACTGGGAGATTTTTTTCCCAAGTTCTCAGCAAATAAAGAAAAGAATATTGTTTCTAAACCGAGGTGTGTGGGGGAAATAACCTCTGAATGTTTGCCCAGAGCTCTAGATACGTATCGGTGGCCGTCAAAAGCACCGCTGGCAGCTGTGTGGCACGTCGTTGGATGGAGAAGCTTTTAAGACATTTCTCTGCCTAACTGACTGTTCTAACTCGGCCCACGGTTCACCTCCCTGATCTTAGTGTTAACGGCTGTAGATTAGTTGTCCTCTTTGGGAGCTGGGAATCCTGCAGAATTTGGAAGATCTGAACCATCATTATGGTGGCTCATGCCAGATCTGGTGCTGACTCTGCAGAATAGGAGAAGGAGGAAGATCATTTGCGAAATATGTTTTGCAGATCAAGGTTAGGAAATGGGCGACTAAAGAATGAGCTGTTTCCCATATGCAACGGTTCCCGCTTCTCACCAGCCTTGTTTTGCTCCCGATAAGCATTGATGGCTGTAGAGAGAATGGGGCATCTCTTAAACTCTGCATTTTTTTTTCAGTGCCAGCAGAGAGAGGCAGGCTTAGGAGAATTGGGGGCTTAACTTTTCCATCGACTTTCCGGTTGCATCTGAGACCCTCACCTTGGTAGTTTAGCTTAGTTTCTGTTTGGCTAACAAACCAAACGGTCTCTCCGATGCACAAATGAAACACCCCTGGGCACCCAGCTCAACAGAATACACCCAGTGTTGTTTTCTTCCCACTTACGTTTCCAAGTGACAGGTCTTTTGACAATCTCGCTCTGCCTTTTTGAAGCAAATCTCGCGCCCTGCCAGGTTTCCAGTGAGATCATTTGCAAAATATGTTTCTCAGCCTGTTTTCAGGCAGATTTATATCATGTCGCTTTGCCATTGCTCATTTATCAGGAACAATGATTGTAAGCCAGGGTCTGCGTGGCTTTCTTTTCATACCCCAGAAAGTCAAATTGGAAAGGGCCAACGTGGAAACCCTCAGAATTATTGTGTGCAAAATGCATTCAGGCATCATTTTCAAGTTTTCTAATGCTTATTAAGGACCGTGATGTGGAGCCCAGAGTGGCAGTGTGCCATGCCCAGAACATTTGGGTTAACAAATCCCCATAGCTTGTGTTCACACCATGCGCTGCGCCCAAACGAGGTTTTGCCTTGGCACAGTGGCCTGGTTCACACGCCATGCTGAAACAACAGCTGATTTCCGACACACATCTGGAACTGCAACCTCGGCAAACAAATTCCACCCTGTGTGTTGTGCAAATCCAGGTGCTGTCTGTAGAACCTGGCTGTTCTAGGTAAGGTCCAAACAGACTTTGATCTTTTGAGCCTGCAGATTGGAGATTGAGTGGAAATAAATGCAGCCATACCAGTGGGCACCTCCTCTAGTGTGCCCTGTAATGCCCCTTACAGAATTTTAACCAAACGACCAGGGCTCAATTTCAAAGCAGTTAATCTCTCCAAACTCGGTTATTGTCCATGTTTTTTGCAAATCCTAAAATATATGTCCTAATTAGGAAGGTCTTGCCCACGAGAGCTGTCAATCACTGGAGGAGGTTACTGCATGGAGGAGTTTCTTCCCCTTCACAGGAGGTTTTCAAACAGAGGCTGGAGAGGCTTCTAGCAGGGATGGGGCCGTGAATCCTGCAATGTGCAAGGGGTTGGACTGGATGACCTCTGAGGTTCCTTCTGACTCTAGGATTCTATTATCAGGAGGGCTCAGGGTTTTTTGAATGGATATGTACCTGGCAATTCCCCCCCATCTACCCCCCCAAAAAGAAAATCCAATTTGCTTTCAGTCAGATGGGCAACTAAAGGAATTATTTTCCAAAACATGAAGAATTCTGGATTTTTTTCTATTCCAGGCTCCCTACCTTTTATTTATTTATTCGTGCAGATATTTTGCCCCATCCAACTGGTTTGATGTTCTAAAAGACAAAAAGTTACAAACCACCTGAATCAAATCTGTATTCTGTTCTAAAACTGTGTTGGCAGAAAAAAAAAATCTTAATAGTTATTTAGAACTTTGGGTGAGCAATTCATCTTGGCCCTTCTGTGAAGTCCTCAAGCCACTTCTGGGTCAACTCGTCCCCCAACCTGGTACCCTCTAGATGAGTCAGACTACAGTTCCCAGGATTCCTGGCCATCCAGTGTCCTTTCGTATTTTGTGGCAGAGGGAAGACTTCTTGGTACAATTTTAATTGAATGCAAGAGTCTCTTCATTTTATTTCAGCCCAGATTAGGGCAGTTTGGAGTTTTTTCATTGATTGGTGAAATCTGGCAAGATTCTTTTCTTTGTAACCTGATGTCATCAAATCTCTTCTCCAGATCATATTTCCTCGCCTCTAAGGACCTAACAATCTGGGTTGAACCGCGTGTGAAAAGGAGCATTGCAAAACAGAGAAGGTAAGACCTCCGCCGTCTTTGTTCCGGGCTTTAAAGAAGTTGCCTGTTTCAATTCCCCACCCTGACAGACATGAAACCTCGTCTGTATGCCTATCTGTGCTCCGTAAAGAATTTTTCATGGTTTCTCTTCTCCCCCAGAGGCAGGAAGTGTTTCTAACTGGGGGGAAATCACGGCTATTTTTGCTCAGTTCCCAAATGTGGCACATTTGCTTCGGAGTTTGAGTGCTGGCTTGATCAGGGAGAGAGCTGGGCTTTTATTCAGATGGCCATATATAGTCATTTATAATGAGATCCGAGTCGTTTATTAACACCCATCCACTCTAAACACAAAATTGAAGGGGCCTGCTTTTATGGAGGAAAACCATTGCTTGTTGGAGACAGAAGGTAGGCTGTAGGTTTAAAAATAATTAAACTCCATCAAAAGAACTCTCCGCTGAGTGTGATAACATGTGTCTTTGGGGAGGTTAATTGATTTTATGTTCTGCCTGGGAACTGAACTGAAGAAGGTGCAGTTCCTAAGGGGAGAACGCAGGGTCCTCGGCCCTGGCACGGGAAAACTCTAATGCTCAGAAACCCAGGTGCCTTCGTATGTTGTGCTGGTATCTAGGAAACCAGAAATAGTTCTTTTCCAGTACTGCAAAGAACTAGCAGCTAAGAATCTGAACTCTTTTTTTTTTCCAGCATGGAATTTAAAGAATCAGGATCAAGGTTATAGGATTTAAGAAAGCCCATAAGGTCATTCGCTACGCGCACGATGCACAGGGATGGCCCAGCCAGGTTTTTCTGGGGTGCTCAACTTGCTTTCTTCTGAACATGCGTGAATACCTTTCTCTTTTGTAACCTGTTTCCCTTTGTTTCATTTGCCAAACCTTCATGCAGGGGTAGTCAAGATGGCCCAGCAAACTTGAGTAGGAAAACGCAAAGAGGAACATTGTGAGGGCTGATGATAAGTCATGTATGTGAGCAATTGGAAACAGGATCCTGAAGGAGGTGGATTTCTTTCCAAGCCAGTGATCTGGTTCTTGTAATGCCATGAAATTCAGAGGAAGGGGCAGTTTTCAAGGAAGCTAAGCAGTTCTTCCTTGACCTCCCTAGCATGGAACCGTTTGGTCTCTGAGAACTTCTACTCGGCTGGAGATCTTGGCAGGCCACCTAAGGGCCAGTTGATGTGTTTTGCTGGAGCTTAAAGCATTCTGCGTTTGGATCAGCCAAGAACTGGTCTCTGTACCTGGCAACACAGGTGCAGAGAAGAGCAGAATTACATCACTACTGAAAATAGTTTATGCTTTGGGCGTATGCTTGGCTGAAAAGCAGGTTGTGCCATTTGTAAACGATGCTGTATCTGTGAACCCGCCTAAGTGTAAATCACTGAAGAATCATGGTTGAACAAGCCATAGCTCAGGGTGTTGTTTGAACCCAGGCATTATTTTATTGCTTGCCTGTTCTCAGCATTCAGAGGCAACTTTTGCACAACCCAGGAGGCTCAGCTGAAGGGGAGCCAGCTTGTTTGTGGGAAAACCAGTTCTCCACTTTCAGCCGTATTGTGGTTTGTTTGGGCATTACATGAACATAACTCTGAGCTGAGTTTAGGGTTAAGCGTATTGTGTGATCCCAGTTGTAGTCTAATTTTGCTCCCTATTTAAAGAAGGGAAATACATGCAGATATCCAAGCTATCATTCTTCATCACTTATTATTCTGACTTAGTCATACTTCCATATTTTCCATCTTACCTCCAAACTAAGATAGAATCCCAGAATTGGGAACGAACATAAGGATTGTCCAGCCCAACCCTCTTCAATGTGCAGACAAACCAGTAAGATTGTCCATGAGAGTTGGCTGTCCAGATCTCCATTAAAACCTCCAGAGAGGAAGACCCACCACCTCTGTAGATAGACAATTCCATTATTCTACTGTTGTACAAATATCATCAGGAAGTTTTTCCTTGTATTTAAGCAAAATCTAGGTAGCTGCAACTTACAACATCTGGTCCTAGATTCTGTGGCCATGGAGAACAGTTCTCAGACCTCTTCTCTGTAGCTTTCCTTGATGAACGTGAACACAGCTATTGTGTTTCCTTAAATCTTAGAATCATAGAGTTGGAGAGGTCCTCAAGTCCTGTACACTGCACTACACTACATTGTCCTTGCTAGATGATTTTCCAGCCTCTGTTTGAAAACCTCCAGTGAAGAAACCCCTTCATGCGGTAACCTGTTCCACTGATGGACAGTTCTTACTGCGAAGAAGTTCTTCTTAATGTCTAATGTATATCCACATCCCTGAAGTTTCATCCCATTAGTTCTAGTTTCTTCTTTTCTTCAGCCAGAACATCCCATATTCCTTCAGCCTGTCCTCAAACCCTCTTCTGAACCAACTATCAATCTCCTTCTAGAACTGGGGTGCCCAGAATTGTACACTGCACTCCAGGCGCAGTCTCACCAATGCCAAGTCAAGGAATAAAAACTTCCCGTATCCTTAATATTCTTCTAATGTAGCCTAGAATTATATTAGCCCTTCTAGCTGCTGCCTAACACTGTTGACTCATGTTCAGCTTGTGGTCAACAAACTCGTGAAGATTCTTCTCTAATGTGCTTCTAAGCCAGAATTGCCCCAGCGTGTATGCCTATCCTATACATTTACTGCTTGGATCCTCCAAGGAACGAAAGCGCATTTCTTACATGGCCTAATATGTCTTGGGCACTTGAAGGAACTCCTTTCCACTAACTCTAACCCTTTTGCATCTGACAGTGATTTGCTTCTTACCAAGCTAAATCATGGTTTGTTGAATAAACAACTGGATAGTAGGGATCACACATGAAGCTGAAACCAGTCAGATCCAATTGTGGCTTAATGTATCCAAATGCTTCTTAAATTCCACTGTTTGCTATATTTTTCTCCTCTTGTTCCCACCCACCCTTTCGTATCATCTACCAGAATAAACTTTCCCTCCAGATCACATTCATTCATGCACTGTTTTTCATCAAACTCCCTTCTAGTTTTACCATTCCTGCGATTCCCTGGAGCATAACCTGTTAACTATCACCAACCTTTGGATTCCTGCTTTCATACAAATCCAGATGGCACCCTCACACATTCTGAGACGCGTTTTAGCCCTTTGATTCATAATTAAACAAATAATGAATTCTATACCTCCACATCCTTCATCTCTACTCCACAAATCAGACCAAGTTGATTCAGATTTACAACATCCTTCCCCTTTTTCTTACTTTCACAGACCCAACGCATACCTATTTTTACTTCTTTTCTTTATGCATTAATTCATGCTCTTTACCATTTTTTTTTTCATTTCCATTCCAAGCCGCAAGCTTCCATGCAGCACAGATGTCACCGGATGTGCCCGTAGACATTGACTTCTGCCACCCGTCTTAGCTTTGATCAACTAAGGCTTTTATGTAAACCAGGTTACCAGCTTTCATCATTCTTATCACATGGGCCCCATTCCCTGCTAATAGCAAAGATATTTCAGTGTTTTTAACCAGTCTGTCATAGGCCCAATAAAATCCCAGGTTTACCCCAAGCATGCCCATGTTATTCTTATGCCAGCTAGCATCTCTAAACTCCTTTGAAAGCCAACATACTCTTCCGCACATCTCACCAACTTGGAAATGCATGCACTCAAGATGTTTAAATGCAACAAACTATTGTCCCTTAGTGGTTTTGGAAAAAAAAAAAGAATTAAGTGTGTGTGGAGGACCAGAGACCATTCATGCCCCTCCAACAAGCAAGAGTTAAGGGTGTCATCTGCGTTTCTGATTCTCGCAGGAACCCCCATCCTGCTTTTAATACCCTTCAACTCATGCACTCCTCTGAATTCTGAAGAGTTAAATTCTGTCTATGAAATGTTGGATGTTCTTTTGATCTCAGCAGTTTTTTTTTAAGACTGTAAAGTCATTAGTGCGAAAGGAGATTAAAAAGAAGCATAACAATTAAAATGTTAATGCCGTCTGCATTAGCCAGCTTTTATTGCTGTTCAGACATTTGTCTTGGGCGGCCTCTTTGCCTCTGCTGCCGCAGTTCTTACTTTACACTGACCCTGGTGGAGCCCCTTGTGCTATTATGGGAATTTTCTGTGGGTGGGTAAAAGAGAAATAAACTTTAAATGATGAATGCCTTTTTTTTTTTTTTAAAGTTTTCTGACATTGTGGAGCTGGGAGATGAGGAATTTGCTGCAGGGGCAAAGGCTTGCAATACAACTGGTGTGGAAGAAACGTTAAGCCAGCTTGGCATGGGGGCTTTGTGGTGCTTTTAGGAATGTTACTGCAAGCCATTAATGCAGGATTTCTCAACCTTAGCAACGTTAAGATGTGTGGACTTCAGCTTCTCCATGCTGGCTGGGGAATTCTGGGAGTTGGTCCACACATCTTAACGTTGCTAAGGTTGAGAACCCCTGTATTAGTGTCTTGAGTAGGTATTTTCCTCTAATTCTTCCCACCCTTCTTATCTCTCCCCCCACCCTTCCTCATTCAACTGATACCTTGGCTGACTTCACACAACCATGTTAGACCAGGCAAAAATGGGATTGGGTCATTTGTGGTTGTCAGAAACTCAGCCAGAGGCATACCTCCTGGTGCAAATGCATGCGAAGCCAGAATCTGGGGGAGGCATAGCAATTAACATTTGTTAACCCAGTTCAGTGTGGTGAAAAACTCACCTCTAAAGACTCTATGGAGATCCAGAACCTGGTTTCCTTCATAAGGAAGCAGAGCCAAGATCAACCATGTCTTGTTGAGATAGATGGTAGGTTATATCAAATTCCAAGGAATAGAGACAGTTTGGTCTAGTGGTGAAGGCATCAGGCTAGAAACCAGGAGACGGTGAGTTCTACTTCTGCCTGAGACACAAAAGCCAGCTGAGTGATTTAGGGCCAGTCCCTCTCTCTCAACCCTACCCACCTGACAGGGTTGTTGTTGTGGGGAAAATAGGAGGAGGAAGGAGTATTAAGTATGTTCACCGCCTTGAGTTATTTTTGAAAATAATAAAA